ATGTAGGATTTATGTATTGTTTCCTTTCAAAATTGTGGATAAAAAATGCACGTGGCATCATGGGTGGATATAGGTGGACTGGACCGGGCTAGTCCCCTTCCCATTTAGTTTTTTAGGTGTATTTTTTTATATGTAAAACTAATTTTTTTTCTTTTTCATTTAGTACGACTTGGTTTTTTTTAGTTCGGTCTTGAATCCCATCATGTATCCGCCCTTGCACGGCATGCTGACAGACCCTTAAACAATTTCATACGCATGATACTAGAAACAAATTTCATAAACATGGGTAAAAGGGTACATGTTAAACAATACAAGCTTCATGTATATGAAACATGCAAATATAAAAAAATTTCAAGTATCATACGTGTGAATCTTGTGCTTTTTTACGATACATTTTGAGCAAAGCATGTTTCAACAAAATAATATAAAATTTACGTCCTTGTAGTCTTTCTTGCTCTTCAGTTAACGGTACATCTTCCATATAATTATTGTGTTCCATATGAGGGTCTTGTGACTGCCTTTGCCCTCTATTATCCATACAAAGAAGAATGTTCGAACTTAGCCTCCACAGGCATAACACAGTGGTAAAGTAGGAGGGTTCTTTACAGAGTATCAAATGTTCGAATCTCTAGGCAGTTAGAAGGCAATATTTATGTTGGAAGGCAACATCTATGTTGGAAGACAGAGGTCCAAAGGGAGGAGAACCGCCGAATATCCGGCCCAAGTGTGTGTAAGCTGTGATCGTATCCAAATTAACTTGGGTGGCGAACCAATGGGGAAGACCGCAACTCCTCAGGATTAGTCGCGCGAAACATTAACACCGAGTCATAGAAAAAAAAAAAAAAAAGAATGTCCCAACTTAATATTACATTGACATTGATTTTAGGGAGAATTTTGAAGAAATTCAGGGAAATTTTTTCATAATGTTTTGAAATGTCGTGAAAAGGATTGAAGACATTAGTCTTAGAGAAAGAATGTCAAGGATTTCATTACAGGTTGTCAAGATCTAACAAAATAAATTTGTCATGTTTGATTTCTATTTTCCACATGTGGTTTTCTATCCATTTGAAAATATATAAGTTAAATGAGTGACGGATCAGTAATTAATTATATGGAAAGATGAGTAAGCATTTGATAACCTATTAAAGGTGACTGAATAAGTAGCAATAATGTTAAAGTTGAATGAGTGTTGATTATATTTACTCTAAATTGAAAATCTAGAATATTACAAAATTATAATATTATTAAGGACAAAATTTACCCACCTGAAGCGTGAAATTGAGGTAGACAAATTTGGAACGTGATAGATGATCTAATGAGCATACGTGCTTATCTAATGTTAAATACTTGAGACATAACATATTCATTTATTGGTGGATAAAATATATGACTGATATTAACATTTAAATAAATTCGAAATTCACCAATAAATTGATATGTGCTTATTAAATCATTCACAATCAATGTTTTGAAAACATGATCGGACATTGACTCGGAAAAAAGAAGAGTCGAACCGAGGTTAAACATGGGTCGACTCACAAATTAATTGATTAATTAATTAAAATTTTATTTGAATATATACTATTTAAAATATAAATTACTATATAGATGTAAACTTTTAAAAAAATTAATATTAAGTTTAAGAATATTTTTAAGTTTTTTCATTTGTTAATTATTTTTTAACAAATATTTCATTACATAAAAATTAAATGGGCCAAAAAAGTAATAAGCAACATATTAAATAGGGAAAAATGCATTTATCCTACTTTATCTTTACCCTATTTCAAAAATAACAAAACAACTTTC